GTTGTTGGTAGTTCTGTTGTTGTTGGTAGTTCTGTTGTTGTTGGTAGTTCTGTTGTTGTTGGTAGTTTTGTTGTTGTTGGTAGTTCTGTTGTTGTTTGTTTTTCTTTTGTTGTTGGCATTTTTGTTGTTGTTCCATGTTCTGTTGTTGTTGGTGGTGGTGTTTCTGTTGTTGTTTCTTTTTCAGTTGTTATTTTTTGTTCTGTTGTGGTTTCTTTTTCTTTGCTTGTTAGTATTTTTGCTGTTTTTTCTTGTTCTGTTGTTGTTTCTTGTTCTGTTGGTGGTTGTGTTTTTATATTTGTGTCAGGTTCTGTTGATGTCTGTCGTTCCGCCGTTGTTTTTGGTCGTATCGATGTTGTTTGTCCGGATGTAGTTGCAGATAATGTTGTTCCTGTTTTGAAGTAGATAGAACGGAATAAACACTTTACTACTCTGTTGTCTTTTAAAAACGTAGAAGTCTTTTTTCTTTACATGTGTATCTTTTTGTCACAATTTAGCTTGGCTTTAATGCAACGTGGTTTTCTTGGTTTTTGTTAATTAATATCTGTTTTACTATTTGTTGATTGATTTTCTCATTCCTCGCGCGTGACCTTTAATCCAATGTTGAAATATTATATGGGTTTTTTTATCCTCTTTTGTTTATAGTGTGAGCTTTGCAACAGATACAAAAAGAAATTACCATGAGCACGTTATTCACTGAGAAATTTGGACTGCACTAAGTACGGTAATTTGCAGTCGCCTCTTGTAGGGCAAAGACCCCTCGTCCTTGGGAAAAGTGCCATTAAATATTATGATGTTACTTCTTCAAAATCTTAAAATCCAGCTCAAACAGAATAACAGTTGACTTATTTTTTTTTAAACGTTTTATTTTTAATTGGCCTCCAATAGTCGCTAACGTTGATTGCATTGGTAGGCAGAGCACTCCAAAAGCGTGCTCATAAGATAATAATATGTGTCACGACGCGGTGAAGTCAGGCGCTCGTCATTTTGGGGGCATGTGGGGTTATTGGTACCATGTTAAAGCTTGTTCATTTGTTTACCTTTTGATGAGAAAATACCCATTTTTCACATATTTGCGACTGAAGGGGGTGGTGGTCAACAGGTTTCAGTTGTAAAATTAGCAACAAAATGGCCGCCAAAGCTTTGTGAATTCCATTGCTTGAGAGTCCTTAGAAAGTGAAAATTTACATTTTTGTGCCTTTAATAAACTTTTTTCCAGGAAAATCAATACAGAATGTGTTTTATTACATGGACTTTAAAGGTGTTGAGCCAAAAGTACAAAAGTTGAAGAAAAAAATCGCCACAAACTCAGAAAAATGCCTGTTGTCTATTCTATTATTTGAACGAGCTCCTGATGTCACCATGATGCTTCACACACAACACCAATCCCACCAAAACCCCTCTGGTGGCCACGGATGTGCGGACAGCGTCAAGTCAGTTTGGAATACCTGTCTTAAAGTACTGTAACCTAGGAGCGATAACTTATCAGTGAGGACCATTTATTATTTTCTTCTATATGGTTACAAACCAAGTCATAGCACTAAATAAACATTATTGTGTCGATGTGCTTCTCTATACTCAAACAAACAGAGGCTCACTCAATGGCGTCAGTGTGAGAAAGATAAGACTGGCATAACGAAGGGGCCTGTGTACTTGGAAAGACATAGGGTTTTTTTTAATATTATCACCTGGCGCAAATATCGTAGTTTGCAAAGGGTTTATGTATTATCTCCAAATGCTGATACCGTGTATAGCTAAAACAAAGGTATGGGGTTAGGAGGGGGTTAATATCACTGTATGTCCATATCCTTTCTGGCAGAAGCATTTCAGTTAAATATCATCCCCAAATACCAAAACTGTCATTGACAAAATCCTTAGCAGACTTAAACATTGTACGGGAGTGAATCATCCATATCGTGATTTGCAAAGACAGTAAAGGGGTAGGGGTTTGAATACAGTGCCGAAATACCAACATTTTACATGTAGTTGACTAGAGCAGTAATCAAAACAAACATGTCATGTGATGTGTTAGCACCTAATGAGAAAGGATCACTGTGAAGAAATCCTGAACTGCCACATGACCATCAGTTTATATTCCTCTAGCTCTAATTTAGGATGTTCCCTTTTCTGTTTGACGTAAAGATCTGTCTAGGGGGATTTAACCTATCACATGTATTCATTTCAAGTGGCAGATATGTATTTGTCGCCATGCCGGCGTTACTAGATAACAGACCTTTTTCTGGGTGGGGGAGTTAAAACTGTGTTGGTGTTACAGTACGTGGCTCACTTGTCTGTTGATTATGCTGGCATATTGTTATATGTAATAAACGTGGTGTACTCTGTAAATGGCGGAGAGTGACAGTTATTGTGCTAAAGCTCTGTACAAACAATGGCTACCACCATACGTAATGCAAGAATTTGTGAGTGAAAAGACAAAAACCATTGCATGTTTTGAGGGGGAGATTGAGAAAATAAGCAATGGCAATCATGTGAGTGTAAGAGTTTAAGAAAACAGATCAATTAAGATCAAATGGGAAGTGAGTGAGTTTGAGAAACAAACAGTATAGCGATCGTGTGAGCAGTGAAAGAATTTATGGAACAACAGGCAAAAACGTTTGCATGATTAGCCGGAGACTTTGAGAAAACATACAGTTAAATTCACATTTTATGTTGTGAAAGAATTTGAGAAAACAGGCAACAGCGATAACGTGAGCAGTGGAAGGGATTGAGAAAACAGATTATAATGGTGATTGCATGATTGTTGAGAGATTTTGAGAGAACACAAAATGGCTTTTCATGTTAATGAGAAAGTTCGAGAAAACAGATTATGGCCATCATGTAAGGAGAGTGATCTAAAAAAAACAGACAACTACGATCACGTGGTTAGTAGGGAAGTTTAAGAAAACAGATAATGAGTTCCTCGTTATGAGAGAGTTTGATAAAACAGATAGTAATGAAAGGGTTTGAGAAAACAGATAATGCTGATCATGTGGGAGGGGGGGGGTAAGAAAACAGATAATGGTTTTCATGGTTACACTGGGGGAGTTTGAGAAAACAGATAATGGCTTTCATTGTTCAGATAATTAAGATCACGTGCGTAGTGAAAGAGTGTGAGAAAACATAGAACGGATATCGCGTGAGCAAAGAGATATAATTTGAGAAAACCTGGAAGTCCCAGAAGCAAGAGGAGGAGTCCTAAGCAGATGACGTCTGTTCCACGTCTGCTAGCCGCCATCTTGTTACAGGGGAAGTCGAGGTTGTGCTCCACGTGTGATGACGTCAGCGGCTGATGTTTGGTAAGGAGATGGGTAGGGATAGGGGTAGGGTGGGGTGTGAATTTATGTGGCCGTCAAGTTGAACCACACGCTGGGGACATAACCAAGGAGAGGACGACCTTGGGGTGGGGTTAGAGTAAGGTAAGGTGAGGGGGGGTTGCGTTGAGATATGGGGGTGGATTGAGGGGATGATGTGGAGGTAAGAACGGGGTGAGATGGGGTTTTACTGTTTATTTGTTGTTGCTGTTGTTTG